GAATACATTCTTGGGGTCAGCAAAATGGCTCAACAGGTAAAGGCACTTGCTGCCAAACTGGAGGACCTGAGTTCAATCCCCAGGACCCACATGGTGGAAAGGGAAAACCGACTCTTGCAAATTATCCTAATTCTACATGTGTGTCAACAATACACACAAATATAAACAAATGAAATGTAGGAAGAAAGAGCACGTGGAGAGGTTAGAATACCTGCTTGGCTTAGGCAAGACCTTCAGTTTGATCCCAAGTAATTTACCACTCTAATAGGGCATGTGGAGAAGCAAAAAGGGAGAAATCTGTGGCCTCACTTTTTGGCTTTTTTTGCTCAGGGGGTAAGGAGGTACCTGCTCAGGTGCAGGACACTCAAAGAGAGCAGCAATACCCTCCACCTTGGGCCCAGAGCAACACCAAAGTACACACAAAGGCAGCTAAGGAAAATGCCCCTCAGAGGACAGGGCAGGTATTATATACGTAGCTCTCCCCATGGCCAGCACTGCATTCAGACCACTAAGTGAGTTGTCCGGTCACTCCACAGGGATGAGAAGCCAGTGAAGGGTAACCTCAGCACCCTCTTATTCTGGACACAGTTTCCTGGTGGGAAACCTCCTGGGATACTGTCTCAACTTAGGCACTGACTGACCTAGGAATGAGCACTCTAGCTGGACAGCAAACCCTGCCCTGAAGGCAATGAGATTTATTTAAAACCTACATACACATTAAAACAGTTTTATACACATTTCTCCCATTACAAGATTACAAATATACAAATTTATATTCCTTCCAAGTCAGCATCCTGAGTATTAGAAAAACAAAACCCCTAGCAATCAACAGAAAACCTACACCTTATTTTCATCAATTAAATTGGCTTTTTTATGTCTCTCAATAAAAGACAGACACAATCTCCTCCGACTTCCTGTGTTCAGCTTTCGACACTGAAGCCAACCTTCCTCTGGATGGTTTTGGCAAAGCAGCACTGAGTTCACTTCTGAGAAGGACGGTTGTCTATACTTCTGAAAACCCAGTGGCAGACCAAGGAGGGCGAGCGGTGGCAGCTCTCTTCAGCGTTTTTATTAAATTCCACTCGTCTGCCCTCAGTATTAGTGATGAACTATTGACTGGTCAGGACAACAAACTCAGCCCAAGAGATGCAATCAACAGTGGTCGGGGTTTCTTCTGTCAGCAGAGGGGAGGCTCACAACCGAACGTTTTGAGATCTGGTCCCAGGGAAAGTCTCTCTTCCACAGATTACCCGGTGTGGGTAGACACCGGGTATAACCTCATCTTCTTCCCACACTCCAGAAAATGAACTAGGTACCAGCTTAAGTCCTCATTTCAAAGGTAGTAAAGGTTAATTAGAAATGAAGCCTGGAAGCTTACAGGAACAGAAGGAACAAGGTTGACGCAACAGCCGGTCGGTCGGTGGTTCTTAGGCCCTCCATCTAAGCCACTCACACTGGTCCTGGTTACCATGTTACAGGTCGCGTGGGTGTGGAGGAGTCATCCCAGTGCTGGCTTTCAGTGCTTTCTGTAATTTTCTATAATGCCACACTTTCTTCCTCCTCCAAACACCTCATTTCAAAGTGGTGTCAACCCAGGAAACTGCTAGGAAAAAATGTCAAATGCTTAACAGAAGAAGTGAGACTTCAATTATTCTGTAAGTCGCTGTTGGAAACTGTAGTGATAAGAATAGTGGCCGAACTGGAAATAACACTAGGAGAGAAAACTGCCATCAAGAGTGTGTGGTACAAGAACTGGAAACTGGAAACTCTGCCCATGATGCATCGGTCAACGGAGGAGAGGTCATCGGCGCAAACGCCAGTCCCACCGTTAGGGACCAGACCTACTTGGAGCAGTTTCAGCAGATGCTGGCATCCTGGATAGTGTTAGCTTTCCAAGTATCTGAAGATGCTTCGCTTTGGTCCTGGACTGCTATCATCTGTCTTTAGCCGTTTAGGAGATGGTGACATCATTAATGATGGCCCCTTTCTTCTCACCTAGAGAAAAAACAGAAAGAGTCAGGGCCAGCAGCTCAAGATTTATCTTCACTGAGTTTTTTCTTTCTTTTTTTTTTTTTTGAAACAGGGTTTCTCTTTGTGGCTTTGGAGCCTGTCGTGGATCTCACTCTACAGACCAGACTGGCCTTGAACTCACAGAGATCCGCCTGCCTCTGCCTCTCAAGTGCTAGGATTAAAGGCGTGCGGCGCCGCCGCCCCCACCCAGTTCAGAATTTTTTTATTTCATTTTATTTTACTTTTTTGGGTATGTATGATATATGCATGTGGGTATGCCGTGCATGCCATGTGCATGCATGTGGAGCAGAGGATGCTGGTATTTTCCTCTATTGTTCTCTGCCTTGTGCCTTTAAGACAGAGTCTGTCTCTGAACAGGAAGTTTGACATTTCAGCTGCCAGCAAGCTTCCAGGATCCACCTTTTTCTGCCCTATGATGGGGTTACAGAATCATAGCCATATAGCCATGCCTGCATTTTATATGGTGCTAGGATTCAGACTCAAGTCCTCACACCTGCACAGCAAGTCTTCTTGTCCACTAAACCACCTCTGTCTGCCTGCCTGCCTGCCTGCCTGCCTGCCTGTCTGTCTGTCTGTCTGTCTGTCTGTCTCTCTCTCTCTCTCTCTCTCTCTCACACACACACACACACACACACACACATACACACACATGCACACATGCAAGTATTTTAAAAATTAAAACAAATAAATCTGAGGCTGGAGAGATGGCTCAGGAATTAAAGATATTTGCTCATTTTGCAGAGGACCAGACTCCGTTCCCACATGGTAACTTGCAGCTGTAATTCCAGTTCTGGGGATCAGGCACCCTCTTCTGGCCTCCCCAGGTACTAGACACACACATCGTGCATGCACATACATGCAAGTAAAATACAAACAAATCTTAAAAAACAAAACAGAACAAACCTCCCACAAATAAACACTATTTGGAAAGCACCACATCAGTTTTTAAATTCCCTACCTGAGGCTTAGATGATTCCTTTGCTGCCTCGGCCTTGGTAGGAGAAAGTGTATGAAAGACAAAGTTTCTTGAGTTTCGGGGAGCGCTGGGGTTGAGGTCAGACAGGGCAGAGAGTTTCTGAAGCACAGTCTTGGGCTGGTTTAGCAAGGAGCCCATCTTCAGCTGGGGAAAGAAGAGATACCTGATACAAAACTGCAAATGCTGAAAAGAAGCAAGTCTACCCATGTCTGCCTCACCTGGTACTGAAGGGATGCTTTTCTGCCTTAAGCAAGACCTTCCCACTTCCTGTGGCCACCTCCCTCGCTGAGTGACACCATGATCTACAGACCGTGAGACCGTGGCATCAGATTAACAGGGTCCCAGCTAACCTGGTGAGCACTTCCTGGTCTGATGGCTTCAAAAGGGTTACTGGGCACAGACTTGGACTCCTGAACAACCACAGCCCGACTGGCTGGAAAGAAAACAGAGAGAGAAGTGTCTGAGCAAGGCTGGGTAGAATTCCCTCTACATTCAAACAAGCTGAGAAGACTTAGAAGCTGATGTAAGAACTGTTTATTTTATAGTCATGACCTTAAAACTATAGCAAGTGTCACTGATGAGACAATGAAGTCAAGATTATCAGTTAATCATTAACAAGGACTAACAAGGAAAAACAGCAGTTGGTGAGTGAGAGCAGTATATAACAGTCCATTTATGGCGTTCAATACACCTATGTTCAATCTCAGCTCTAATACCTGAGCATATAAACCCTGGGCAACTCAAAGAGAAGCCACAATTCACCAGCAACCCTTACCAAAGCTACACAAACCAAAGCACAACTTTACTAACCAACCTCTGCCTCCCCTTACCTCGGTGGCCCCTTTAAGACAGTATGACAGAATTACATTAGCCACCACAGTCCCCGAAGGCCAGAGGCCCCTCCTAGGCTCTGGCACTGACAATCCAAGCAGCCAGACCTAAAGAGAAGTGAGAGCTCACCATTCTTCTGCAGTGCCTTGGCTGTAACTTTCTTGGCAAGCATCATAAACTGACTGTCTTCCCCAATGTCTTCTTCGTCAGCAGCAATTTTCCCCTGTTGAGCCTGAATATGAAGATCATACAGGATTAGCCAGGTGTGGTGGCAGATACCTATAATCCCAGCACTTGAAAAGCTGAGGCAGGAGAATTACCATGAGGTTGAGGCCAGTCTGGGATACATATGAGTTCCAGACCAGCCTGTCTTCAAAACGAACTCATAAAACATAAGATGATGATGATGATGATGCTTATTACAGCTTCCCTAAATAGTCAACTTACAGGAGCTGGAGAGATGGCTGAGAGCCAAAAGCACTGGCAGCTCTTCCAGAGGATCTGGGTTCAACTCGCAGTACCAACAGGGTAGCTCATAAATGTAGGGCAGGGAGGCTAACACTCTCTTCTGAGCTCTGTTGGCACACATGTGGTACACAGACATACTTGCAGGCAAAACATCCATATACAAAAAATAATGATATAAAACTAAAGGTTGGCATGGTGGCTCACACCTTTTTTTTTTTTTTGTCTAGTGTTCTGTCTGCACATATGCCTATAGGCCAGAAGAGGGCACCAGATCTCATTACAG